TCAAAGGCGTGCCGTTGATTGAGCCGAGCTAGACGAGTATCTTTATTAAAAATATCCTTGGGCCATGTACATTGTGGCCAATTGGCACGGGCAGAACGATCCAAGTCGAAGATGACGAACGAACGGCCAACGATTCACGTTCGCGCCGTTAATCTACAATGAGTACGGAGCTCCCACTTTGGCGCAACTAAATAGCCGATGAAGGGTGGCTCTTAGCCGCGGCCGAGGCAAGAAGTGGAGGATGCTTGTGCCGCGCTGAGGAGGAGCTGGGTATACCTGCCTGCCTGCGCGGGAATACGAAGTGAGGCAATATTGCCAACGGTGGCTAGCTCTAAGCGCCGGGATTAAGTGCTACGTAAATTCTTAGCGCCGCGCGTTCTTGCTCCTCCTTTTTTGTTTCCTTTGCTTGCGGGCGCACCTTCCACGGGATAAAGAATCGCCGATCTCCTCCGCCCTGCCAGTAGGCCCCTAACTTCGCTAAAGACGCCTTGGCTGCTTCACTTGTGCCGACGCCTGACCGAGAAACGAATGTGCTGAGGTGATAATGGATAGCGTACAAGGGCACTCTTCTCCAACATCATTCAAACGTAACGCACACAGTCTTTCGTATAAATATAACCGAAAGTAGAATCAAGCTCTGTTCAACATTAAACAAATCATACTCTATAACTTGAACGTTAGTTCTTTAGTGAAGATTATGAATATTCTTCAAAAATACAATTTTATTCTTGATAAGAACCGAATATAGCAAAGGTTCCCGTCGAAAATCAAACACAATATTGGACTGTATTTTAATCCATTGTTAAATGCAAGAAGTACCAATAAACATTGATGATAAAAAATATTAGTGATGCTTTGCGCATTAATCTATATTATCTTGATTCGTATTACAAAGGCCTACAAATCCAATACCCGCAATGTTGCGATACAATCATGGTAGTATACACAGATTCTGCTATTATTTTGCTGACTTTATCATGACTCATTAATTTTCTCATTAGCACTTTCATTTGATACAAAGATACAATAACTGGAACGAACGTTGAACGTGACCTATTCTTCATCTTTCATAACTTAATACTTTGTTCGTATCTTCAACGAATATAGACGTTTATAGGTCAGGCCCATGCACATGGTAATACGTACTTGGTTAGTTTAAGAAATTCTGTTAGATGGCGCAAGGGTGACCTACTGGAGCAAAAGTAAATTTTAGGCAATATGAATAAAGGGGTAGCAAGTGAGGGGACAAGCAAAGTACGAGCAAAAGAAACCTTTTTTGGGAAACAGTTAGGAAAACCGTTATGAGGGTCTAGGCTGAAAATTTGTTGGCGAGTTTTATCGCTTAGTTGACTAGCTAGATTAGAATCAAATTGTACTAGTCTAGTCCGATTTTGCTAATTTAAAAACTGAATTTAATATCTATTCCCGCAGTAACTCATGAGAATCCTTCGATCCAGTTCGAAATTATTAATTCAAAAAGTCAATTTTCGACACTCTGTGCGCAAAATGCGTCTTTCCCGCACGCTCGGCAGAAAACATGCCTTGAAAATTGCGCTTTCTACACGTCTTATCAAAAAATACGGTACGGCACATGTTCGGGAAAGAGTTTCTCGTTTCGCGTACCTTTCCACCCTTGCTTTGCTCGGGCGTAAAAAGCCACACGAGACAAGAATCTACTTTCCCGCACTTGTATCGTAATGTACTATTTCAGCATACAGATTGGAAATTCAAGGTTTTAATTAACAATTTGAACTGGATCAAAGGATTTTTATAAGTTACTACGCGACATTATATGAAATACAGTTTTTGAATCATCAAAATCGGTCTAGACCGCTAGGCGAGAAAACTCACTAAGGAATATTTGGCTTAGTCTTTCATTACGGATTTTCTGCCTGCTTCCAAAAAAGGCTAATCATTGAGTATATGTTGAAAATTGACTTTTTCAATTAATAATTTTAACTGAATCGAAGGATTCTCATGAGTTGCTACGCGAATAGATAACAAATTCAGTTTTTCAATAATCAAAATTAGACTAAATTAGCATAATTTGATACTAATATTGTTAATCAGCTAAGTAAGAAAACTCAATTTATATTAAGGACTCGCTTGTTTGTTAAGATCTTGAGTTGAGAGCACCACAATAGTTATTAAATATTTTCTCAAATAACTAATATAGTAATTCCGTAGGCGGTTTTTTTAGTAATACGATTGTCAAAATAGGATTTATTTATTTTTTTAAAATGGCAAAAAATTGAAATATTCAGAAAAGTTTTTCGATTCTGAAAAAATTTTAAGAAATTCTTTGATCGATTCTAAGATATTTTTGTTCTATATACATTTTTACTAAAATCAATAGTTTTCGATTAAAGAATTAGCGAAATATGTAATTTTATCTTTAATAATGTGTTTCTCGAAAACTATTTAGTAAAAATTTATATACAATAAAAATATATTAGAATCGATCAAAGAATTTCCTTAAATTTTTTCAAAATTGATAAATTTGTCTGAATATTTCAATTTTTTACCATTTTTCAAAAATGAACTTCATCAATAAAAATTCTGAAAAAAATTTAGGGGGTTCTTTGACCAACTTTCTAACATGTTTGTTCTTAGATAATTTTTTCTTAACTCAATCGATTCCGAAAATAAATAGCTAATATTTTCATAGAATTTTCAGGGTCTGGCCGTCATATAATAAAAAGGAGTTATTCAATAATTTTATAAAAATTTACTGTTAATTATCAAGTATCGTGATCACGGGTGATCACGATGGGAGCATGAATCCTGTCCGTTAACAACAACAAAAAATGCCAAAAATAAATTTTTTTCGAAAATGTTCACCTTTTTCGTGATTAAATCGGCCATATCTTTATTCCTTGGTACTTGATTAAAATTTCGAGCTCAAATTCTGAAAGAATATCAAATTTTACGTTGAAATAGCGGTATTGCAAATCTTTTAGTCTAATAACATGCAAAATAAATTCGTTGAAAACTTAATAATTCATGTCGTTTGGGCATTAATGGATTTATTTAGGGTCATGGGATTTTATAGTAAATTGAATTATTAATTTTGTTCAGTAACTTTTTATCCTAAAATTCATCGTTTTCCAGAAACATGCCAAAATAAGCCTAAAAATGCCCTCATTTTTGCTTGTTTTCGTTATACATGTTTTTGTACAAATAGCACAGCTAAAAAATATTTTGAATTGGTCAATTATCGATCTATATTCCTGACAATTGCAACAGAAATTTATCATGGTTCCGCCATATCCATTTTCAATTTGAATATGACTGGACTGAATAGTGACAGAGTTCTGGTATATCATAAAATAATAGTATTATCAATTTAATTAATTACTATATATTGTAATGAATATAATAAATTTTCTGGAAATTTTTATAACATGTTTTACTATGTATTTGACGATATAAACCAGATTCTGTATTCGTTTTTAAAGTATTTAACATTTTTATTCAGGGTATTATGTTAAGATTAGATATTTACAGTATGATGCTTTTTCGTTAATTAATTAATATTAATTTAATCAATTTTTTTTTGCAAAATAATCAATACATCGATAAAATATTTATAAGCTTTTTGTTATTTTGCAACATAAACATCGTTCACATTTGAAATAATTGAAAAAAACAGTATCTAAGTAGAAATTGATGATTTTTATGAAAAAGGACATATTCTACTATAATATCATTAGCCTAATCTCTACTGTGCTAGTATACATACTCTTTTCAGCATATGCATAACCTAAGCAGCCGGGCTGGGGACATTCGGCAGGGCAGTAAAGCTTTGGTGTGTATAGTGTCTGTAGGTTTTCTGAAGGAACTCAGATACCCCAAGCCCTAACCCCCCTTACCCTTACCTGCAATGTGTAATGGACAGTGAAAAAAAATACCATTCGAAATATCTCTAATTGAACTCTCCAAAAATGCTTATTATTTTAATTGAACCCCGTCAGTTGTCCCAAAAAAAATTAAAAACTATGATAATTTTTTCATTTTTTGTAACTGCGATATCTTTCGTAATACTTAATGTTTAAGCAAAGAAACAAGGCAAAAAAATTGAACCCTTGCTCGTTTTAATTGCACCTCTCTTACATTTTCAAAATTATTAATATATATGTCAAAAACAACAATCTAATTTTCTTTGGTTGATATGATTTATCGTGCACGTACGTTAACCTATCTATTTGGAAAGAACATACAATAAAATCAGATTGTTGTTTTTGACATATATATTAATAATTTTGAAAATGTAAGAGGGGTGCAATTAAAACGAGCAAGGGTTCAATTTTTTTGCCTTGTTTCTTTGCTTAAATATTAAGTATTACGAAAGATATCGCAGTTACAAAAAATGAAAAAATTATCATCGTTTTTAATTTTTTTTAGGACAACTGAAAGGGTTCAATTAAAAAAATAAGCATTTTTGGAGGATCCAATTAGAGATATTTCGAATGGTATTTTTTTTTCACTGTCCATTACACTTTGCGGGCTGAGGTAAGGGGGGTCAAGCCCTACTAACGACAAGACAAACTATAGTGTAACTGTAGAATAGCAATTTCATAAGGCAAACGACATCGCCATCTGGTGGTTAGGTCATCCAACTCAACCGTCAGTTTCCCAGCTGCTTACATAGTACCCCATAAGCCCCATAAGCATAAGACCTGGCCTTCGAATCTTGAAATATGCAGCTATAGCTAAAGTAGTGACATCTAAAGTAGGAAGACCGCAACCTAATTATTATAAGAGCAAACAACTGCAACGTCGGTAATAAAGTTTACTGTTACTACATATTTTCGTTCAAAAAAAAAGCGTATTTATGAGAATTTATTTATACTATGGGTTACCATGTCATTATTCCTATAATAGTTATAAAGCTGAAAATTTTAATAATTTAGTTTTTTAGGGAATGAATAAAAATCAGTGATCATAATAATAATTCAATATTAATTATTAGGTAATATTGTATTGTTAGAAATAGTATTTGTAACGATGTATTTTATAAAAGTTAAGAATATAAATAAATGTTTTTGTTTTTTATTATGAATGATTTTCATAGGATATGAAGGACAAACTAATTTTTTAACAACACTATTGAATCCGAGATATATTGATGCCGTTGGCACGCGGACAATTGTGCACGGTTTTATTGTACACATAAACTATTGTGCACAATAACATAACACGAATCAGCATGACTGTGTACAATAATTTGTGTGTATAATAAAACCGTGCACAATTGTCCGCACGCTATACCCCTAACGCGTACAATTAAAGTTAAAAAAAAATAAAATGAAAGGTGTAAAGTTTAAGCAATAAAAATAAATAATATAAAAATTACCTATTCGAGGCAAAATATTTGAAACCATTTAGTAATGACTAACATGAATTTGCAATTCACTTCTTACAGTATATCTGTTCAATTTTTGAATTACATGCTTTGACAATGTCGCGTGAACAATTTTTATAGCGAACCATATGAAAGTGTCTCTAAAGACTTCATACATATTCATGCAATAACGAAGAACAATTAGAATTTATAAAATTAAATAAATCAACAAGTTCCAGTATAGTAAAATTATTTTATGTCCTAAAACACAACATACTGAAATAGACGGTTTAGATATGTTCACGCGATTATTAACATATACATTTCTTAAATAGAATGTTTTAATGCAAAGTTAGAACTAATTACTTAATATTAAACAAAACATAGCTAAGTCATACAACCTTAGAATTAATAGCTGATAAGACTATGATTTAGTTTTTAAATCTGATACTTTTTAAATTCAACAAGGTTTTACTTGATTTTTACGTTGATATACAAAATAGCAGTATAAAAAAATATACATAATATATATATATACAATGATATGATATGCTGCTATAAAAAAAAAACATAAAATAAAATAAAATTAAGGAATCAGATTTTTTTTAATCTTTCAAATTGCAGTAGTCTTCTGCATAAAATGTCGAGAGATTCAATGCATAAAACTCGTAATAATTTATTTGGGAGTTATTAATCACTTACGCGCACATAAACATGGTAATCAACACCATCAGCATTGCAGCAAAAACTGCATAATAAATATAAAAGCGTTCTGTCGCGAGAGTAATCACTTGCTAATAAAATACATCTTTTATTTTCAGCGCTGGATTCACAGCTTCTTCAGTTGGGCGTAAACTTCGAATGGATTTTTGATAAGGCAGTTGAGAGCACCTTGATAAGCGTAGAACGGTGCAACTGCTTCATTGTACCACGATGACGTCCATCGCTTCTCCATATCGCAGGCGCAGTCCATGGAAAACACCGCTGGAGCAGCTGTGGAACGCAAACGTGCAAGTATTATTTGATGCTTCATTATTTTAAATAGCGTTTTTTTTCATTTGCCAAATAATCTTTAAATTGTACGTACACAACGAATCGTCATCGGCCTCATGTCATAATTGGCTCAATCCTACGCAGCCGTTGTTCAAACGGTATTCGACGTACATCATGCCTGTGTTGTGCCAATAATAGAGAGCAGCCACGACCAATATGTGCCACCATTGATGAGACGAGCCTACGTAGTCTACCCAGCCTTGAATATTAAACGTTTGTAAAATTACGTTAAATATGTTTATTTGTTACGAGAATAATGTTTTGTTATAAAAGAGAACGCTGCTATACAATGGCTGTTAGATAACGCATTCCATAAAACCGTCTCGAGTTTATCGAGCGACAAGTGTTGATATTCGAGGCATGAATGAATAATGATCGATAAAAGACATGTTTACCAGGACAAAGACGCTCCGGTATCTTGCTGAAGTATATGAAAAAGGCAGCCCCACTGATGCAGTACATGCCCAGTACACGTGGCACAAGCAAAGCCACCATAGGATTCTCCATTCCACCCATGGCAATAATCCAATGCAAAGTAGGTATAACTCCATAGACGGCCCAGCCGACGAATACTGCCAGTCTTACGTTGTCGTTTACTTTGTAGCGTGGCAGTTGCACCATCATCGCCAGGATGAAAATAGCTAACACTGTCACTAAATAGAATCGTTGGAGTTGCTGCAAGGGTTATGACGAGTTTATTGAACTGATTTCGATTGACGTCAGTTAAGCTCTATACTCATTGCTATTTTTCATTGTGACTAGCTATTATCAAGTTTTTTACAGATATTGTAATCGTCTGCCGATGCAACAAATACTTCACCATTCCAATGATAAATTTCAAATTCATTACTGATCACCAATTAACGCAAACTCCGTTACCTTTCTTACGGTAAAAAACGAAATTCATTTCTCGAGTATGGAAATTATCAAATCAACCTTAATTTCATTTGTAATTATTATATTGCTTTAATACGAATATGCAACAAATACAAATTACCTTATGACACCAAAACGCATAATAAACTCCAGACATGTAAATAGATAATAAACTAAGAGCTACTCCTAGCAGATCGTACGACAAGAAGTAGAAATAATCCTTTTCGCTCCGACAAGAGAACGTATGGTATATGGATGAGAGAATCATACAGGCCTGTAAACAACCAGTGGCAAGATCCATCATTATCTTACATGACGATATCGATCGGATTTACTATGGCTACTAAGACTTACTTGGAAGCATAACAAAAGTAGACAACAAAGCACTCTATCGCCGAAGGGGGCAGTGATATTCACGATATAAAGATCGTAAAAGGTTAATCCGCAAAAGAGCACAAAGCCAAGAATGTGGCTCCAAATGTTGATTGTTTCGTTTGTCCACCAGAATATGCTATTGTAAGACGTACAATGTTGGTAAAAATCAATAATAGAGTGCACGATGAAAATGATTTGATTCAATTAGGCAAACCTTTCGATGCATAGTTTGGTAGTCAGATATCCTCTGTACCCGTGAAGTATGAACGGGTTGTGTTGTAGATATTTCGGAGCAAGGTGTATCGGTAGCAGTACTCTCATGCGTTCTTCATCTTCAGCGGTGACTGGACCTTTGATGGGCGAGTCAGCCAGCTCCTTTGGACGATGAAGCATTACTTCTAACTGTGAAAAACGAAAACGTAAGTAACCATTAACAAACAGTTTGAGAGTATGTAAGTATTTATAATAAGGAATGACAGTTTTTATGTTGAAATAATTCAATTTTGTGTGCTTGTCGTAGACATAAAAGTCAGTTATACATGGACAATATATTCAGTAATAAACAACATTGCCTTCTAGATTGCGAAATTTCTCTTAAAACGCAGAAAAAACTATAAATCATGACAGCCTATTCACAAGCACTCCCAAGTATTATCACGTCCGCCGGCATCTGCTAAAAATTTCACAATTTACCGTACAGATACATCGGGCCTTCATCCTTAATACAGCTAATAGCTAAGCGCAACATACACGCATACAGTAAAACGAATGAGAAGGAAAACGAAGGGGGACGAGATCAGCTCTCTCGGCCTACTTGTAATGCAAGTGAAATTCACAGTCTCCTGACCTTGTTGCTTGCCTTGGGCGATTCCGTTGCTCGCGCCTGCGGATAAATTCGTGTCCAAGCGCAATAAACGGATCACCACCGCGCCACTTTTTTACAGACGCGACGCGACAAAGTTGCTGCATCGTATAATACAAACTTTCTTTTAAACACGAGTAAAGTCGTTCAAAAATTCTATATTCAAAGAAACAACGCGTACTCTCGTTTACAGTCTCGTGCTAGGGTATATTTTTCTTGGTTACATATGTAGACTCGACGTTATTCTCAAAGTACGAATGGTGAACACGTAATTGTTTGCGCGAATCGCGATGATGTCAACGCAGGAACGCTGGTCTAAGCATGTACATGCTTGCGTGTAGCTTTTTCTAGACGAAAGCTGTGATGTCACGGGCACACTCCTCAAAACACCATTGGAAATTATTTCACGAGTGTGACATAACAAGCATGAAAGCGCACTTGGAAAAAGCAGTGCAAGATGACGCGCCTTGACCCTTGATTTTTTGGTTATTTTGTACAAGGGAATTGGAAATCATATTATCTGTTACTGATATTCAAAAACCTTCGGATAATCAGTTCATACGTTTCTTTTCGGAGGTTTATCAAGCGCTATATTTTTACAAACACAGATAAGATGTTTCGAGAAATGTTAACTTGATAGTAAATTGTCATCATGTCAAAAGAGATTTAAGAATTGTGCAAGGCAATTTTGCTTGTTCGACTTGTGTACAGATTAACTCTAGATTGAAAATTCTTGTTAGAGCGCTCTCGCAATAAGCAGCCAACTTTCTTCAATAGAAAAATATCCAAAAAAAGTGTTTGGCCAAGCGTGGTAAGAGCAGATTTTCCTTTTCACAATGAATTCACAGCCGGTGCTTTTGTTATATGGTAATGCATTAAAAAAAAAAATCAAATTTCATGACAAGAAAAAAGTAGGCGCTTTCTGCTAATCGTTACCAAGAAGCGATCCTACTACGTATATGATTGTATGAGATCGCACGCGTGCACTTTGAGGTCAAGAGCAAGGGAATCAGATCGTCGACCGAGAGACGGAAAAAAAATTCATCGCATATTGTAATAGTTATTCAAACAGCTTGTATATGGATCTGTCAAAAGGAAAACGTATATAAATGGCAATGAATTCTTTCTTTTTTAAAAGCAGCGGAAAGATCCACTCTCTGCGAAATCGAAGGTAAGTGGCTCAACGAAGAGAGGATGCTGTGTATATGTGCGATTCGATAGAAAGTAAGTGGGTCACAACGGGACACAGCTCTTTCGCTGCCGTGTGTCAAGCCCCATTGCCGTGGGCAAAGTCGCTTAGCTCTCTTTCTGTTTCTCTCGCATCTGTGCCCTGACCATGTCTGCATCTTCTCGATTCGAATCACCGATTTGAGGCTACTTTTTTGCTTTTCATCGGAGCAAAATTTTATTATGGTTGTAATATTCTCCTTGATTTAGAGGTTGTAAATCTTCATCTTTTTCCGGGGTTATATTCTAAAGAAACATTGCAATTACTAATCGATTTTTAACGCTAGTTTCATCCTGTAAGTTTCTTTGCGATGCTATTCTGTCATCAAGTTAGACATTAATATTTTCAGTTGTACATTATGATAAAGAAAAGTAAAATATTGCATAGTTTTATTTATAAAAACTAAAATTTACTTATGATCATTTGTAAGAACTCTTGAAAATTTATAGTCCAATGAGTGATATTCGAAGTAATTTGGATATTCTTTAAATTTGCTAAGCCCTAAATTCACTTTCTGAGATTCATGCAAGATCGTCAAAATAAGTGGAACTTGCTAATCGCTGAAATACGCGTTTCTCACTTTCTCTAGTAAACGTAAGCTACGAAAGATTTTACCACGTAACACAGCGCGAGTGACTTAAAACTTTCATTTTCTTCGCAGCTAAATCGTTCCATTGTGTACAGCAATTTCGTTTGCAGTACTCTATCATTCTTCGTGACGTTGATGATGAGCTTTCCCAAATATATAAAGCGCTCTCGTTGCGCATCATTAATATTGATTTTAATAGAATGTCAATTTGTTAAATAAAAAGATAACAACAGATTCGAGCTACATGTCAATCGTAATAATTTAGAGCAGTAATCTGCAGATAAATATATACGTGTTTAAAGTACCTTTTAAAAAGAAAATGTAATGGAGAAATCGCTTGTTACAATTGTTGCATATAAAACAGTAATAAAACTTTTCTTATAATGCTTCTTTATTCGCGTACAATCACTAGCGTTTAGTACGTATTTTTCAAAACCTGCTATTATTTGTCGTAACAAAGTATCTAACTTTGAGTTTCTAATATCCATATGTAAGACAATGATTTACGCCAGATTTCTTAAACAATCGATTTCACGTTACAAATCAATAGCTAATTTATGAAAACTTAATGAGTATGATATTGTGCTAGATTAAACGATACATTTTTTTAAAATAATTAATGTATTGAGCTTACTGGTTCCTGAACGTCGTGATCGGATTCCTCGTATAACTTAAGTTTCTCATTTACGTTGTTATTGTTGTGTGTGTGATGATTAGTGCTGAGGCTTTTGAGTGTCTCGTCACTCACTTCCTCAACACCTGCCAGCATCTTCATCATTGAAAATGGCTAAGGAACGACACCAAAGCTGCAACAATGGAAAATTCGTTTTTGACGGATATATGCTTGTTTATTGCTTATTTAGGCAGAAATAAATATTATTTGTTCGCTTATGGTTTCAAAGTCCAAAGTGAGCCACAAATTATCTATATACCATAATGAACGGTCAGAATAGTATTTTCTATATTTCTCAGTTACACGTCTAGATTTATTTTTCAAGAGTAACAAATGGATATACATGTAACTTTTTCTTCGCACTAAGAGCACGAATAGCTCAAGCCAAAGATTAAGAAAATTGCAGGGACTCTTCTGCAAAGGCTTTCTAAATTCGAGATATATACATGCAACTCACAGTAAGTATCTACAGATCAAAAAATTCTGCAGTAATATATTCATAGATGTATAGCTTGTTGAACAGAATATAAAGCGAGAAAGACTTTATTACTTTCCTCGGAGCAGCTTAAGTTGCCTTAAAACTGTAGAACAAAAGCTCGAATGTTGTCGTAACTCTTACCCATTATGGTATTACGACGGCAAATGTTCAAGTGAAAGTTGTTAAAAAAAATTCGGAATTTCATACTGTGTCACAAATGAATACAGTCAAATTGCACCCATCGTATGCACGCGGCAAGGTGATTTGACGCGCAGTCTTATGTAAATCAAGAACGCGCACATCGTAAACACACGCGTTACGTGCGCAGTCGCAGGCACACGTGTGCAACAATAAACCTCAAAATAGTTAGGCTCACGAAATGGTAAAGCAAAGATAGAAATTTGGCCAAGCAACAGTCGTCAATCGACATTTTCACAATCAGATCGACAATCAAAGAAAGGCGGCGTCCAAGTATCGAAGTGCTTCTCTCCTATGTGTGCGTTTCTCTTTAATGCGGCAGGAGTTTTCCGTTCACTCTCACCTCGACGGCGACGACGGCAGCGACGGCGGCGGCGATCTCTCGGTGTGCAGCGGCAATCTGCGAGAAAGTTTCGAGGAAACGGGACCGCGTACGCTTAGATACGACGCACACATGGTTGCCGCTGCAAATAACACATACACACATTATAAGCGCGAGCATGCGAGAAAGAGAGGAGGAGTGCTTCTCGTCGAGTACACGCAAGGAACGGAACTCGCCGATATATAATGCCGTGACGGACATCCTAGATTTTGTGTATGCGCGCGTTAATTGGCCGCTCGTTAGATAAACTCGCGATGTATACTGCAGCGCTATCTTTCATCCCGCAGCGTAGCTTGAATCAGCGGAAAAGCGCGTGCCGCGAACTCGCCGTGCGTACGCTGCCTGCCGTTCAAAGGGATTGACTGGTTTAGAGTCACCGAGCAAACGAGCCAGCGCGTGTGCGTATCTCATAAATATACGCCAACAGCGGCCTTGACAAAGGCCTTACTACTAACCGCGCAGCAGAAGCCGGTGACCGGGATGCATAATATTCTCGGCAAACTATATGCCGACTCGCGACTGCACACAAGTCCGACCGCGGTCAAATCTTTGCGGGCACTTCGTCTTGCACTTTGCGCGATTCTCTCTGTACTTGACACGATGATCTATTCATTACTGTACGCTGATAAAGCTTTTCGGTCTTCGTTTCTTTTCTTTCTATTTCTCCGTCAGCTACTCGATCAAAATATATAAGAAGCCAGATAAAAATACATGGTTTTCATCCAATTAATTTCATCCAATATATATTTCTCCTCTGTAGAGTTCAAAGTGACATCGACCGGGAAAAAAATTATCTTCGAAAGACTAAGTTTTTATTCAAGCAAAGGATCGTATCAATCTAACAATGATTATAATAATCGTCTGGCAGTTTTTTTCCACGGATTAGAATTTGATATCGAGCAGAAAAATTTAATTCACTTTTCAAAACTGTATTATTAACAATCAAGTTTTCCATAAGAAAATTTATTTCGATCGTTTATATAGCAGATTCAATTGTAAAAAGTAACATTGGAAAATTGAATGTTTGACAGGTGAAATTCAAATCACTGCGACAAAGGCAATGAGGTTGCTAATTTTTATCTAATGTATCCTGTTGAGGCGCATGTATTTTTCATTAACTGCGGGAAAAAAAGGTCGGCAGAGTCAGGGCTACACAAAACGTCAAGATACTGTATGATCAAGGCATACATATACAAAGATTGAAACATATTTTCTCGTCATAAATATTTCAGCGACTCGAGACAAAAGTCGCAATGTTTGTTCGACGGCCATGTATAGTAGATGGCACTTTATATGCGCAATGAATATAACTATGTAAAAAAAAGTGAATTGAGGAAGCGGGTGCGCGGCCACAATGAAAAACGTAGAGAACAGCCGTAATGAAAGCCTTTCTAAAGACCTCTAAAAAGCTGCGTTGCAGTGCAATGAGCGGCCATCACCGAATCAACAAATTTCGAAAGTCGTTTGCCAACATTGCGCCGAATCCACTTTCTTCCTCATCTCGCAAACAAAGGCGCTTCAACAGTATGCAGCATAGGATGTAAGTGGCAATATTATTTGAGTGTGACCACCGACGATTGATCACATTGCAAAATGCAAGATGTACTGATTGTTGAACAATCGCAAGTTTATTATAACTTTGAGCAGCAATATTGTTTCGTAAAAGATTAACACAGCTTAATATGGAGGAATTGTAAGACCTCGTAAAAGCCCGACTGATGTATGGATACGAGTATATTACATAATAAGTCATTGCTGATTGAAGAACTTACATTGAAAACTACTATATTCAAACGAAATAGTGAATTTCACAAGGCATTGTTGGTCTTTTACGACAAGCAACTATGCTTAACGCGGCACAAGCCATTACGTTAATGAATAAGTCCCACACAGCGCTTGTAAAAAAAAAACACGAAAATCTCCCGCACTCGACAACAAATACAACACTTACGTGTTCGTTCCAACGGCAACGAAAACAAGAAGTGGAGTAGTCGAAAATCGGCGGCTTGGCGAACACTGAACTGAGAAAGGTTAATAATTATCGTCGACGGCACATCGTCGCGTCAACGGACGCACATGTAAAGCGCCCACGGGGAGATTGTGCGAGCGAATCGATCGCGGCCACAGAGACTGACTGACTGACCGGCCAAGCGGCCAAACAGCAGCCGAGCTGTGCTTCGCGACGATGTGTAACCCCGCTCCTATCCGACTGCTTATTATGCTGTCTCTACACCGAACATCACTTTTTTCTGGCGCTGTGATTGTTGTTACTCTTTCGACGTTAGCTAAATATTTTTTTAAATGAGGAACAGGAAGTTGCGCATTATATTCACTGTTTATCGTTAAAGGACACTGCTGATGATTGCTTGAATTTTCCTTTCTTTCCTGGTTCATGACGACCGTACGAAGCACCTGTTCGCTACTCGACGAAATTCAGCATAATTGTACTTCTTGATCTTTCCTGAATTTTAATGTTACAGTGTTATATAGAAGCTAAAATATGTAAATTTAATTGTGTTACGTGTGCCCACATTCCACTCAGTATCAAAAGTTGATGACATTTATTACCAAAGCTATCATCACTTATTAGAACGTTCAGTTTTTAAAGTGAAGTTCTAGAACTCAATTTTAGATCATATTAAAGACGATTTCCTCAAATGACGTTTCTCCAGATTTTATTCCTTCCTTTAAAATTTATCAGCTTTCATGCTTGACCGAATTATTAACAACACTATCAAACTTCGTGGTATATCAATCATTCTCTTAGTATACTAATTTGCAAACGTACCCGAAGACTCTTTAGAATATCAACAAAAAAAAACACTTCAATATTTCGAAGCTCTTACATATGAACCGTTATAACGCTCGAATTTTGACAAAACTTGCTTCAATCAGTGAAATCTGATTTGCGAGGTTTCGCGGCTTAAGCTAGACGCTATGAGCTAATTTACTATGTTGATGTAAAAGGGGTAAAGTCCACCGAGACTCGATTATAGATGCGTCTCTATAATTAATCAATGCTAACTAATACATTTTAGCTTTCGTTCTCCTCTCTTTAGTGCTGGGCACTTTCATCACCTGCTGTGCTCATTACAGGTATACACGCAACTTGCCCATCTGCCTTGCAAATTCCACTCCGTGTTTTTTCTCTCTCATTTTATTTCATGGCAAGCCAAGACATATTTTTTCTTTTTTTTTTGTAGCGGGCGGCATAGGGCACGTGAAAGTAGCGAGCACAAGCACATGGCTATCTCATTCGTGTCGAATTTGGATACACGGGTGACTTTATTTCGACCGTGGTAACCCGGTTATTGTCTTTTTGCTCTCAAAATATCATTTTAAGAACGCACTTTTTAATGATTTGAAAATGTAGTGTAACACGCTTCGATAGACGCAGGTTACTTTCACTGCAGAAAAAGAGAATGTATTCTCGGAGATATTTTCGCTTACGTACCTAGCCTTGACATTACAAGTGAGTTTGTCGTTGTGGCTAAATTTTAAATTAGTGTAGATTTAATTGTAAATAGTTGTTCATAATCAGTTTATGATATTTTATAAATATAATGCAACTATTTTATAAATGAAATAAAAGAATGATAAAATCATGTCGTTACCTATTCAAGTCAGACCATTTGACGGCTGTCCTTTTAGTGCCGAGACTCACATCAGCAACAATATAGGGTCGATTATGGCGATTGGCTCGATGAGCAGAGATGACAGTTTAATTGAAAGCATTATGTGATATATGTTAGATACACCACGAAAGGAATGCTTTTAAATCAAAAGTGTAACATAATGCAGACAATAAATAATAAATGAGCGAAGCCAATATAGTTATTCTTTGTATCTTAAATTTAATCTGTATTAGTGTTTATAAATCCGGTGAAAATTATATTTAGAAGAATGATGAACGCTTACAAACAATAAACAAAGTTTTTATTGTCATTAACGCACGGTCACGTGGGATAATTCTGTAGTAGGGTATTATGCAGTAAAATAAAAATAAATTCACAGTAATTTCTTAAAATTACAAGTATATTTTTATTCATGCGCTTATGAATAAATATACTTCGAATCTTATAAAAATACTGTAATTTACGAACGGATAAAATTATACGAAACACAGTAGAAAAGAATCGGTATATTTCATGTATAGTGCATTGATTGCTACAATTGTTTCTAGATTTACACATGATATTTACTTACTTATTTCTTTGGAACAGCAATAAGTATATTCAAAAGTACAGACTTCGAATGAAGTTGCAACATCAACTATATCGAGAGTCTTATTGTAACTCAGTTATTTAATTGTAATAGCAAACTTGATGCAGCCACTAACAAATTCATACTAAAGTAACGATAACGTTATCAATTTAATATCAAACTCGAACTTTAGGTCTACATCCAATTCGTTATTTTGATCTAAAGGTTTATGTCGACATTCATTTATAGTTCAATTCAAATATTATTATTGTGACTTAAACAGTGAAAATTGAAAATCGCCATCAATATTCTCACACTACGTACGCAATATTTTATAGCAAAAAAATCTTGAAAACATTTTCTTATCAAAAAGTATACTTAGGAAAACATTTTTGAGATAAGAAATTAGTTTTATCGTAATATTTCGTTTCCTATGTAAGTGATTAAAAAATAGTTGTTTTTATCAATTACAATTGATTATATTTCCGTGACATCTTTTAAAAATTGTTTCAAAACATCACAATTTCCTATACAAATATCGGCGTGATCATCAGAATGGTCTGATACAAATATTTCATTGTTTTCTAATTACTTACAAACCATTCATTCTCTTGACTTTCAACAACGTTCATGTACAACAAAGTACAATGTAAGCTTAGCGAAGAATTTCCGGACTGTTCATTGCAGCGCACGCTATTACTTGGCTTTAAATATGCCTATCTACAATTAACACCTTCTAACGCAACCAACGTTGCAGATCGGCAATTATATCAAAGGAATCGTGCAAATGATGTAATCGGGATTTCTCTGTAATTCATGTGCTGCTCCTACATATTAATTAAAATATACACCGATCTGCACTCGAATGAATATTCACATCAAGTCAGTTTGATTATTCCGCGCTCGATAGAAGTAAAACTACGGGTTGCTTTTTGATTTCATATCACCGAATCCCTGTTGATTGTTTATTCTTTATCCTTTAATATCTTGGTTTAAACATTACTTTAAAAAATTGATTTTGGTAGCTTGCAGTACAACAAAGCTTTACAAATACAAATATAAAAAATATACATTAAAATCATTTTATAAACTATGTACCAACGGTTCATAGGTTATTATGCATACGGCGTGCTTTTGATTGATTAAATGTAAAAACAACAAGTAGTACAGTGGAACTAACGAAATAGTGTTTACCTCAAAATTTCTGGTAACAAGTAATATTTTGGCGGTTTAGTCTCTAAACATAACTAGAATGCATTTGAGCTTTTATTAAAGATTCAAATTTGGCAGGCTAATCTCATAGGTTCGAGGTCAGCTTGTCGATCATTTGTGTCACGCACGTGTAGGCTAGAGGCAATCACGACGCAATTAATATATTCTACCCATTATAATTAGAAACTATAAGCAGGGTCAGACTTCATCGAAACGAGCGCGTTATTTTTGTTTAGATGTGCACTGAAATGTGCCTTCATACCAATCCTCGCGATCGCTTAAATTTGCTAGTTTGTTTTTGGCACGAGTTAATAAACACTATGAAGAGGCGAAACAGTACAATAATACCGCAAGTGGTCTCGCATACTTTGATAAAACTTTTCGAATGTATCTTGATCTTAATTTAATCGATATATCTATTTCAAAAGCACATAGTCAGCAATTTTATAGTTATATAAATTTTATTCATACAAAGAACTATACGGTTGAATGTATACAAGATACACTTTATTGAAAATTTGGATTATTGCGCCTTGAATATCATATTTATACACGAAGACATCATCGTGTTTTCCCTTTATATTCGTTTTCCCTTGTTTTTAATATTTTTTAATTCATCAAACTAAATGACAAAAACACACGTTTTGACAACAGGTGGAAAAAAATCAAAAATTTACTCAAATTATGTACTTAATGTAACTCGTTTTTTATTGTTATAAGATAATAAATAATTACTTTTTTAAAATGTTTTTTATTTGTAAACTGGTTTGATTTTCACGATTTTTAAGTGGTAAATTAAAACGTCATTCCTTTATTATCTTCGTACGTAATTCGCAATAATTTAAAGTAACAATATTTCACGGTAAAAAGGAGTTTTATGTCGCACAACGTATGTATCAGACGCTAGCATATAGTGCAAAGTTTCTCGTCACCGAAAGCTTTGCATCAAACAGGTATAATTGCAATAACGCACGATTACTTGGGTTTGTTTTTGGCCGTCTTTTACAACACAATTGTAAAACAAACTCTCTTACGGTAAACTGATTTTTGTCCTACGAGCAAATTAGTTTTCAAGTGAACTTAATTTATGATCATATCAGTATTGTCTAACATAAGTTACAACACAATTTACTCATCAAAAATAAAGTAGAAAAAATTAAACAAATTGGCGGCAAGCGATGTTATATATAGATAACAAAAGTTTTAAAATGAAAGTGGTTTTGAAATCAACCATAGACAACAATAAAAATTTTAATTTCGCTAAAGGTAGTGACGCGACGTATACAGTAGTATTAGCAGTACGGCGATGACAGTATTATACTTCCGAAGAGATTTACTATAATTACAAGTACAAACGCGACTTTGTTTTTTTATGACTTTGGGAAAACGTTCCTCTTCAAAGACCTTCCTCTCTTTTTCTTTCATGATAGTCAACTTCGAGGTTTAGCAAATCGTACAGAATTTATTACGATTTTTGAGTACGTAGGCACTCCAGTAAAATAAAAGATCGTATATATTTCCTCTTTCCAAGTAGCATTGACAATATTTTAATTCCTATTATTTTGTAATACGAATGATTTATTTTATCCTTTGAGCTTTTTCTAAGTCACAAGCGCTCAATAATGGATCGACCGATTCAATTTAATTATTCAGCGATTAGAAAAATACCGCTATCAATAAAATATTTTACAATCAAGCAATTTTTTTCATTATATGTCGGACTAATTATTCGTTTTTGTGCTAAAAAAATTAACAAATAAACCAAGCAACCGAAACAGGCATGCGTCGTCCAAGTTATTAGTAGAATTTCTTTTTGAAACAGTTAGCAATCTGATGAGAAAAAAAATAGTAAAGCTCGATTAGGATTAGAACAAGTTCATGTTTGAAGATGAAAGAAAAGACAAGATAAGTGTCGTTTTTAAAAGTATTTATATATATAGAGCCCAGTCTTACAAAAAAATGATCGCATCGTATCGAGGGACGGGCGTGGATCGCTCATTGCTTTTAAAACTAACAATCGGTGCGCTGCCATTTCGGAGTTGTTATTTCCCTTGCACAACAATAGTCGTTTCATATTCCGTATTCTCTAATACGTTTGCGTATAACGCTTTTACTGTTTTTTTTCATTGAGAAAGTAGACTTATATGCAAAGATATTACAGCGTTATAAGTACTGCGATAGAAATTAGACTATTAATTCAAATACAAATCCTACTTTCACTCGCCTATATTGTTTTTTATTACTTTTTCTATAATTAAATTGTTGTTAATTACTGCGAAAATCAAAGCGAACAATGAGTTTGTTTGTTTTGTTGTCTCTCGTTCCTGTCTATTTTAGTAGCTTCTTCGATCCAGTGATTTCAAATTTACTCTCATGCTTATTTTGTATTGATAATTTGCGGGATGAACCACCTTATCCACGATCCTTAGTAAATCGCCTTTCATAAGCCATTGTGTGGCACCGACTTGGAAATTCGCAAGGTATCCAGGGAGAAGAGAAGTTCTTACTAAGAAATGGTTACAGCTGGCCTGGGATATCCTGCGGAGTCTGCAAGTCTCATTCAGACGACATGATGTTGATTATTATATATTTAGAGAACCGACGAGCCATAGCTAGGTTGAATCGGTGCTGATTGATAAATGGCATTTAGGCTGGGACTTGTTGATGGTGGCGTACAGATGTTGAGATTTATGTGTATTGGCGCATCACATGGCATACTTGCGCGTCCACTCGCGTGCCAATTCATTGTACTTCTCTCTGTCAGTTTTGTATATCCTGGCTATCTCTGGTACTAGAGGATCGTCTGGATTTGGATCGCACAGCAGAGAGCATATTGATAATAACACTGAAAGAAATATCAATACACTATGTTACGTTCTGTCTAATAATATAGTCACTCATAACATCATTTCATGGAATCATGATTTATTTATATTTTCATCAACTTCTGAACACACCATCTTTCTTCAAATGTTATTTTAAGGTAGTTCTAGCGCTAAATTCTGCAATAGAATTATATAAATATTTTTTATATGATTCTTCACGACGATCTAAATTTGATTACAAAATTAAGATAAAGATTAATGAACTCAAAATTAATAAAAAATTTCTTACAGAAGTGCTGTTATAGCAGGTGTTTTATCTTTTTTTATTGAGTCTCCTTCAACACGCGGTCCAAGACGCTCGAACTATCTTAATCTACCATTCAAATCAAACGTCTATACTAATTTGTGGTCAGTTTTTAAAAATTAAAATTATTAAAGACAATTATTTCAAAGTTTTATTTTCAGTAAAATATTTTCTTTTTGTGGATAATTTTTTCCAATTATGAAAATATAGAATTGTATAAAAAATTCTTTCAGAACCAAAAGTCAATAATTTTTCCAGATTAAAAATATAAATTATTTTATTGGATACTCTAAAATTTTCTTGAAAAACGAACATACGTTTTTCATTATTTATCAGTATCATATTGAGCTAAAATGGAATTAAAAAAATGTTTAGACCGTTTACAATTAATAAATTAAGTTTGTGGAAAGTGAGTAATCGTGACATTAAAATTTGTTAGTAAAACAAACTTGAATTTATTCTCTGGTAGTATCATTTACCTTTTGAAATAGTAAGCGCTGGAGACCATTGCGATCTTAAGATGTCCAAGCAGATACTTCCATTACTGTTGATATTAGGATGATAAATTCTGGTTGTGAAAGCAACCTAAAAAATTGCCAAGAATAAAAATTACAAAATTTCTAAATAGAAACAGTAATAAGTAAAATATTTGTAAAATAAAAAAATGTTGTTAATTTTATTAAAATTGTAGCTTTGACTTATTCTGTATTGTCTGCTAAGAGTGTAAGAACTATCAAATCACCTTTGGGGGTTTGAATGGGTAGTCTGTAGGAAAATGTATTGTTAGGAAAAATACTCCTCCTTGGTAAGGACTGTCAGGCTGCAAATGAAATTCATTCATGAAAAGATCAAAATAGATACCCATTTCCAAACTTCATCTAAATACTTACAGGACCCATAATTGTTGCCTGCCAGTGAAACACTATAATATAAAAGAAATAGTTCTTAAATATTTGTAACAATTTCATTAAAAAGGTACCTATCTATTTTATAACCTTACATATTCAAAGCCAGTATTGTTCTCTTTGAGTAGTTTATATAAAGAATAATAAAAAAAAGCAGTCCGTTATGAACTTTTGAAATTCTTACATATTATGCAATTTAAGGTTTTATTATCATTATCGAGAATTTCTGCCTTGAGCAAATGTTCATACCTAAATTTATGCTTTATTTTATTCTGTAGTTCAAATATTAACTATAGAGTTGTTTTATTAATTACTTGTTAATTAAATATTTTTCAGCATAGAATCTAGCTATTAGAATAAAAAATGTTAAATATGCCTTTACTAAGTTTCAAAATCATGAAGTTGGTATAATAAATTTAAATTATAATTCTACCAGATCTGTTGAAAAAATAAAAAAATAAACATCAGACTCGTGTAAACCATTTTGTTGGTAGTGAACCTTTTTTAATTGTGTGTAAGAAAATGGCCTCTTGTTTTGTGTAAGAACCGAAAATATTTATGTTGTACACTAACACGTATATAAATATTGATTAATATCTGAAGTAGACTCTCTAGCAATCTTGAGAATAATCGCATATGTAAAATGTAAACTTACAGTCATCTCCAACAGGTCCGGCTGAACACTGTGCAGGTGGATCCCTCCCCAGATCTTGCAATTCCTGTAAACATAACATATCAGTTTTCGATATTAAAATGTTTAATATGAACCTGAGCTAGTAAGTAAGTATTGGAGTGATATGGCAATTGCAAACAAGTTATAGAATAGATGACAGTGATACTAAATGCAGTGAAGTGTATCATTAAAAAAGAAAGCAGAAGTATGGGTGATTCACAATCAAGTTTGACAATTAGAAGTCAACATGGCATAGCTGCTTTTAGAACAGTTAGTAAGAGTTACAGAGTGATGGGCAGTAGAGGCATTGAAAAGCCCTGGAAAAGGCCTTCATGCGGGCCTAGCATAACGAGAATTGCAACGATTTCGAAGTTATCTATAGCTTTTTCGCTTGGTGTTGTACGCGTGAACGCGTTCTATCTATATATACACACAGGCATAGGCGTTCGTGAGAGTGAGCGAGAGACCCACCGCGATATACACGGGTTCTCTACGTTACTTCCGGCAATTCGCGCAAAGCCAAGAGACACAGAGGCAGAAAAAGAGAGTGCAAACGACCCCGAGTGCTGCCGGAGTCTTGATCACGTGAGAAAGTCAGCGTGTCCTTGGTGATGCTTCAGCACCAGGAGTCGGCGCGCTTCTCCAAATTGCTCACTCCCTCTCCTACCCTTGATGGCGCGGTGATCGTAACCGCTGCTGCTCCGGAGAAGAGTAGTGAAGGTGTCAGCGAGCGAGCGAGCGAGAGAGAGAAAGAGAGAGAAGAGAGAGCGCGATGAATCGTCCGACCTGGAGGACGGGAACAGTAGATGACTAGGCACGTTAATGACAAAATAGCGACCGGGCTGTTTATTGGGAGAAATAGTCGTATCGCCGTCGTAGCGAGGGAGCGAACGACGACCGCTTATCGACTGCATTGAAAGTCGGGCTCCAGGACGCGACGTAGCCTTGGATGTAGCGAGAGGCCTTGGCCTACGAGGACGAGGTGCAGGTAAACGACAAGGAAGAAAAGCAAGTCGACCCGCGTGATAAGTAGGTACATGAGTGTGCGAGAGCCGAGGAGAGTGCGAGAAGTATGGGCAGGGAAGCTCTCTCGCTAGCGCGGACGATCACGCGAGCAGCAAGCAAGCGATACGTACCTTGTTGATCCGTTTCAAAGCCATTTGAGCGGAGGCGTGTGTGGCTGCTGTGTTTGAGGGTCAACTGAGCCCTTCGGCTGGAGCACAGGTGCAGAAGCTTGAGACGCACGTAGTGGGCTGGCTGCGCCGAGCACACAGACAGAGACAAGAGAGGAGATCTTTGATTAGGGATTGCAAGATGGCCGCCGTCTAAAACGTCGTTCCACTACGCGATTCAAGATGTCCTCCGCGCTTTTTCGCGTATAAAACCACACACACAGAGGCCAAAGCCACAACTGAGAGCGCCAACAAGCGGCTGTCTACTCACTCACAGCAGAGTAAAGGGAGCGACAGAGACAGCTAACGTGCAAAAAAAACTAAACGAACAGCACGTAGCTCCACCGTTACTTTTTTATTTTATATATAAATGTATATATGTGTGTGTGTGTGTGCGTGTATGTGTGTGTACGTGTATATATACAATAATAAATATACGCGAGCGACTGCAACCCTTCGTCCCGGACACGCGACTGACGATGATATTTTACTACTTCTGCTACTGATAGACTGCTGATATGTGCTCTCTGATTCGGCGGTGTGTCGCGCTCCGACTCTGGCCTTGTATGTGTGCGCTGTATGTATACGGTATATATGCGCCTTGGCTGCTCCTCTCCTTCTCTCTCGCTCTTACTTTAGTCGTTCCGCTGTATTAATCTCTGTCTCCGTTCCGCTTGCAGGCGCTTGTGTCTTGCGAGTACGAGCTGACGTTATATATTCTGACTCAATTTCACGCAAGCGCCAGAAACAGAATCGAAGAAGACACGTGTACGATTGTATGTGTAGGCTAGCGCTCCTGAGTCTCTGCACAGCCAGTATTAACACTCTTTTTTTCAGTTTTTTTTTTCATATTTAGCTTGCAACGTTTGAGGAATTTTCACTGATTTCTAGGTTCTTTCTTATGTGTTCATACTTATTTTTAAAAAGAAACGGAAGAGGACACAACATATCTCTTGTGAACAAGGAAAATATAACCCCTCTGATTTATTATTATATATATGAGTTGCGAAAAGTGGTTTGACATATGTTATATTGGCTCTTTTAATACGAAATTGACGACAGAAATTTTTCGTGGATTTTAATTCCTGTGCGATCGAGCGAATTTGAATCGTGTGTATGTACAATGTACATCTTGGAATTCTCACTAGGTGGCAGCTTTTACGCGGGATTCCCATTTTCTTTGGAATCACTTTATTTAGGATTCATTCTTCGTCATCAAAGATTAGGAGGCTTTCCAATCTCTAACGTAATCTATTTTCGCTGATGAAGTACAAAATGTAACGACCAAAACTAGTTTGGAGCAATATTCTTGAAGACAATTAGGCTTATTTATTTTTACTACGTATTGGCTTGATAACCAATTATGAAGTTTCCTATAATTTTGTTAATATTATTTGAAGTAAAATTTCTTATTATATGTATTAAATATAGAATAAATTGGAGTCTGGCCATTAATTACGATTGTTATAATTTAAATTCCTATGATAAAATTGGAAACAATTTCATCATAGTGTTAAAATAAATCACTGTAAAACATTTATTTCTTCAATTATTACAAATGAATACAAATAATTTTTTACACAAATTACAGCAGCTATTAATTTTGGAATGGAACGATTGTCCCAATTTTCTAAATACACGTGGTCTTGATGCATATATCGACAATTAAATATTAAATAAAAAAATATTTATCACTAGTATAATTGAAAAATTCATCTTAAATGGCGATAACAAGAAATTGAAGATTAACTTAAAATATATTTATTTATTATATGACATGAAGTCCTACACTGACAAATAATTGTGATGAAAAATGTTATACTATTGTGCATGTTTATAGCAAATATATTGTAACACGGAATAAGAGTCAGAAACTCGTTATAAACCATTTTCTGATAAATTTGATAAATATATGATTTATATATAAATATAAAATACACATTATATGAAATACATTTCAAAGAAGTAAATAAATTTTACGAGTTTCGAGGCTAGCTAAGAAGTCACATCTGTGGATTTGTATTATCTTTAAATTTAGGATCTCTTTTCATTTATAGAAGTAGATAAGAAGTCGTGTCCATTCATTCTATATTGTTAAAAATTTCCATAGTCATAGGATATTTTCTTTCAATCACTGATAATGTATGACTCGTTTAAAACATAAATAGCTTTCTAATCTAAGCATTATAGTTATAACAACTTTATTAAATGCAAGTTGAGATTAAATACTTTCGAAAGAAAACAAATTTTTGTTAACAAAAACAAAGATATTGAAATTTAATCAGCGCATTACCCTCTTTTTCGAAAACAGCATTTCAATAAAAGATTTTATAGATTAATTGAATAACATCTTAAAGGTTTTATTTTTTTAATAAATTCATTTTTTTTTTTCAAAAACATTTGATCTTAGTTTTTATTTAGCAATATTACGCTAACTCTAAATCATAAGCTGTTGGTATTAAAAGAGGGGCATATTATTTAAGAGATTTGACCAAAATAGACTGTATATATATCTGTATACATAGGTACCAAATCGATAAGGAAGAAACCTTTCCGGTAAACGCGTTTCAATGTCGGAGTTTTTTGAAATTTCAGATTTAATTTTATAATCATACTTAAAAAATAAACTTCCAGGAAAAACAACAGATTGTTGTACTTATTAATGGCTTCAATAAAATGGATTTTCTTATAGATAATAAAAATATATGTTTCTGCAAGAATCTCTTTTATTTTCTGACTACATATATTTAAAAAGATTTAGCTTATAGAAAAGAGTACATATAAGTGCGGGAATAAGATTAATGTTACGTACAGATCTTGTAAAAATGTACGATGCAACTAATTTGTTACTTGTTAATTGATAATCAGCAGCATTCAGGGAGAACTCTTTAAAACGTGCTTATACTTCATCTATATCACATATAACCTTACGTAACTTGTCAACAAATCATCATATTGATCCAAATTCAAGTTAAATTTTACAATTTATTTGCAAAATTTGTCAAGCGTGAAATATCAAAATGAGTTGCTTTGGATCTACAAGGACTAAGTTTAGCGCCTCAGAAATGAGTCTAGCATCTTCCACATTGATGACTGCCCTTTCGACTTCCGATGCCGATTACGAGACGTCCGACGAGCTGCCTATTAGTCCGCAAGTTTTGGATAAGGCTGAAATTTCAAAAAGTTCAACGCACCTTCGATGGTCATCGAGTTTGTTATCTAGCCAATCGGTTTCTTGTTTGACTGACCCAAGAGAATACCTTGTGGCGCCACTGGAAGCAGAACAATACCCGGTGACTGTTAAAAGTGATACTTGTCTCAACCAGCAGAGTAAAATTATCTCCGACTTCATAAACGACATGCATCTGCAAGAGCAACGGCAACAGCAGCAAGACGAAGAGGGAGGCTCGTCGGAATTAGGCGCCCGAAATTCAGCGACTACTTTGCGTACCGAGTTTTTCCCAGCAACGGATGCATCCGACTCTCCTTATGGTTCTATCGCGGACATGAACATTGAAGATGCCATGGATGCGATAAGCGAGAAGGAAGTAGCGGATGAAGGAGCAGGCAGCGTCGAGTATTCGTGCGATTACCCAGATGAAGAAACAGCGAGCCTGCAACTGAAAGAAAAGGAAGACGCTTGTTCGACATTGAGCGAGACGAGGCACAAGATAATAGAAAATCTGGCTCAGGTCACGAGTGACAAGCTGTTCTCGAAAGCGGCGGGCCTTCGTCACTTGGATTCCGGCTCATTGATGACTAAAGCCCGCTCGGCGATGGAGCGAAGTCAAGGCGAACTGCAAGTGCGCAGAGTCACGTCGCGAAGACCGTTTCAGCGCTGCAGGGGGGTAGAGTCTCTCTTGCAGATTGATTACGAACTCCAACCGCTCAATCTCATGTTGTCGCGACTGCTCGCCGAGTTTCGAGCCATGGATTTGAGAGGAAAACACGGTTACGTCGATCCAGCGCCTCGTGACCAAAACTCGACGCCGCCCGAAAGTATAAAGCGAGCGAGTGCTTATAAGGACGCGCAAAGTCGCCTGCAGAGGAAGGAAGAGGATGCGTGCACGAAATTCTTATGCAGTTTATCGCACGAGTGCTTGAGCTGTAATCCGACATCATTCGAGGAAGCAAATATCGCTACCACAGCGCAAATATCGCGCTCATGCGAGGATAATTGCCTGCTATCTCGAGATTCCTTTGCGAAAGGCACTTCATGTCGGTAATTTTAGCCCCGATGACGATACGTGTCCAAATACGACGAACACGTGAAAGTTAACTTTTGCTCGAATAATAATAATCTCGCCTACATATTTAATAAGCCTATTGATTAGGCTTCAATTAAATGGAAATCCCTCGTTTCTTACGTAAAGTATTTATTGTTCCATGTGAGTCACCGATGACTCACCTTCATTATACTGAGAATTTCACAAATTTTCAATGTAATATTAATAATATTCATTGTGATTTTATGTTTAATGGACTAGCATATTATGGAATTGCATGGCGTGCGCGAAGAATACATTCTTAAAGAAAATTCGTGCTATTAAATACAAGTGACTTTTTTTTTAAGTACACAAAACAAAATCAGCTGGAAAGTATTGAGAATGCAGTAAGAATACAGAGAGAAATCCGCGCTGTCACCGCGAAGCGAGATGCACCGCCGACGATCCGCGTCGTTCGCAAAAAGCTACGAGCGAGGAAGATCAGTTTGGTGACGGAGCGTCTCGCCTGACGGAGATCGCCTCGGTGAATTAGCGACGCGCGTTGCGAGCTTGCTGGAAAACAAAAACAGGCTTGATGAATGACGATCTTGGGGGAAAAAGACTGAAAATGAGAGTTCAAAGTTACGCCATTTACGGTTTGCCCGCGCGCGAGAGCAGCTACGCGTTACTTATATTTTTCTTGCGCGCGTATATATATACTCATTGATTTCACCGGAGCTCCTCTTGTCTCGAGTATATAGTGCGTTTTTAACTGCATTAAATCAGCACGATCACTTTCGAACGGTAATGAGAGACTTGCAATCGCAGTAAATCGGATGTTTATTTATTTATTTTTTTTTTTAGGATCAGAGTAAAACAAGACGCGATTTGTATTTTTTTTACTTTTCGACGATTGGCAATAAAACCAATTAATGTTGTTGAGTCTAACGATGCACCTCGGTGAATTGAAGTGGAGTTTGTATATAATTCGAGTGATTTAATTGAGATAACGGTTATAGTCGGCAATGTCTGAAAGTACTAGAGATCGGAATCGACCTTATCGTCATTGTTATACAATTTTTTTTATTGAAAACTTACAGTATTAAAATGGGATTCGTTCAACTTGAAAGTCTGATTTCTTCTTTGTAAAATGATGCGTCATGTACACTCGTCAACTATAATGCGTATATCGTAATTAGTTATAGAAAACTCTTCGGTACGATGCCTCATTTTCATCAGCTCTTAAAACTTTCTGTAATAGATTTCCACATAAAACCCTTATGAACTATCACCTTTTTCAATTTTTAATACTTTTTTAATTTAAATTTATTACTCACATATCGGACACATCGATCGTATAGATATTAGATATTGAGATACTTTTTCCAATCACAAAAAAAAGTGACAGCATGCAGGCATTATTAATCTCAAGAAATAAAATATTTTAGTCGACTAGTTTCACTTTCCAATCGCATTGCAAATAAAACGCTGTGCTAATCGAGACTAGGAAGTCTGATAACTATATAACATTTAAATCAAACGTCATGCGAAATTTCGTGACACCGTAATCAATCACTAATCGCTTTCGACCACAATTAATCAATAATGACTTATCGACCCAAGTATAATATAGCTTTTCAAATCTGTGACATCTACAACAAAACTTAGTGATTTGTTCACAAGCGGGCGCCACATACGTCTCTTGATCCCACCTGCCAGCAGTACCAGCGCCGCCGAACGAGCGGAAAGAGGAAAGTACAGTGCGGTGCGGTTCGAGTGGCCTGTAAGTGCAAGCGAGACAGAGATACGCAGTTAACAGCGCGTAGCGACGGCGTATCATCGAGGCTGCACTCAGTGTGGCTCGAGACTCGGAGCGAACGAGTGGTCGCTGCATTTGTACGCGCGACAGACATCGATACCAGAGAGACGGTGTTATTTGCGCGGTCGCGCTAATCTCCATTCGACGTCTGCACCATTTGGCTACAAAATAAACACGACTGTCGTGTGCGCGAGTGACAATGAGGCGATAGCCTCGACTGGGCATCAGCCAAAAGTATCGTCGAGACGAGTTGGTTTGACAGCAGTGCGGTCTCCTTTGTGTCAGCTCGTCGCCTCTATAAGCCGTTCTCGTTGCGTTGCGTTGGGTGTCGTCAGCAGCCTCGGCAAATTGCATGTGGTAGTCAACTCGAGGATGGGAGGAACGAGAGTCTCTTGCAAAATTGAGAAAAGCCTGACCTCGTGACAACAGCGGCAGCAGATAGAGTGCAGCAGTCTGTGTCTAACAGCACGGGAGTTGGCGGCGATGTGGTCGAGCAGATGGCGCCAGCGGCGTTTTGACATCGAATCAGCAGCGCAGCCCGTCGAATGTCATCAGCTGGACGACGAAGCGAGCGCCGCTGCCGCTGTTACGCCTAAGCAGCCAGCCGCCCCCACGGAATTATGAGCCGAGAATTCTACGTGCCCTGCCAGCCTTACGCATATCCGGTGAGAACGACAGAATCCATCGTTTCCCTCTTTCCTCGCTCTGTCTACTTCTGTACGCGTTTTTTGTTCAGGTTTGCGCCTCCCCCTGTGCTCTGAGAGCAGAGAACAACTTTATTGATTTCGGAGTCGCGCGGAGTGTGTGTAGAGCTGTCGACGCGTGAATCCCACGGACTCGACCTTACGCCACTTTTTAGATTTCCTTCTTATACACACACATATACGTACGCTTCAATCGGTGTCACTAGGCTCTCGATTTGTCCCGAGGCATCGATTTTTCGCTGCTGACAGCTATAGAGTTTTTTCTTTTTTTTGTTCTTTTCGAGCAGCGCAGCAGAAGACTTTCTTCTGGTTTTATAAAAGCTGCTGGCGAGGTGCAGGTACATTACAAAGCACTTTCTTTATTGATTCGCTAGGCAAGGTCAGCGTTGCATTGTTGGATTTAATTTCACTCGGAAGATTAGTTGTTACAAAGCGACAAATAAACTACCTATAGCTTTCTACCAATGATAAGATTTTGTTTCTCGATTTGATTTGTCGCACGTTTCGAAAGTGAACTACGCATAGCAGTGTCTGCGTACAGTTATATGCTGTTACTAGCGGTTGGAAATCGAAAATTGGGTAGGCGTGAACGGGGTGTGTTAGCATTATTATATCGACGATGAGCTTCTCCGTTATACATCGGAAGGCGTTAGAGTTGGAGTAGCGCTTTCTACTGATTTTATCATACGGAAGCAAATGAAGCAAATGCTGACCCCCGTTGGACAGCAGGCGCGCTGCACCAACGCTAATTGAAAGGCGATGAATCAGGGCTGATTCACCGTGAAGCGCGCTCGGCTTCTTCAAATGTCGATGTGTTTCGGGGTCAGAGCTCAGTGCGCTTCGTTTTTTCAGTGAGCAGCTCTCTCTCTCATCCTCGCGGTGGTTCGACCGATACTTCGCGTGAAGGAGGCGCGGCGTTCCATCGCTTGGCTAATTCGCCGACGCGTAGAGGAGCCTTAGCAGGCATGTAGCTGCAGTGTAACGATTTGGCCTTATCGGCGGCGATCATCATTTCGAAAGGCCAGCGCCGCGGCCGTTTGAGAAGTCAATTACAATTGAAATCCCCGGCGCGGAACCGCAGCGCGAGCGATTCAAACGAAGCGCGCCGCACACGTGCGTTCGTTAATCAACGATGCCGCGCGCTCGCACAAATCGTAATGACGGGGCAAGGATCTCGTCGACGCGATAACAGGCTGTGAAAGAGCGCGCGCTTTCGCTAGCTGCGGCCGCTGATGCTCTTTTGCATAATCGTTCTCTCCTTCGACGACACGCGACGTACGCACGAAGTTTTGCCGGAGTTTTGGCGGAGCGCTGCCGCGCCGGCCTTCTTTTTCCCACTCTCCCGAGCCTCTTTGCTCTAGCTGAGTTATTAACAATGCACTAGCGGGCTGATGGCTCGTAGTTAAAAGCTGGAGCAAGATCGATATTTTTTGGCCGTTTGATAAACGCATTTTCAACGTCCGCACAAGGCTGTCGGGCAAACGTCCGATAAGCATTTTTTCTTCCGTTGCCGTCTGCTGGTTCTCCACGCACAAGTGTTTAACGCATGGATGCTTCACATGTTGAATGCCAAGTTTTACCAGTTTTGTTGTTTGCTTATTTGTTTGAAATTCCATTAATAGAACGGAGACGGCGAATGCAATCTTTTTTCCTTGTTAGCTAAAACTGTCCGTGAGAGAATTCAAATCCTTCCGAGATGAGGAGGTAGCGGGTAGATCATGTGGTGACCATACGGCGAGCTAGCAGCTTATAGAAATTATTACCCGCGTCGTAAAGCTGACAAAGTTGTTTGCCACATTTTGTACGATGTACAGTGAACGTGTGGAAAATTGAAAAGCCGTTTTTTAACTATCGCTCGAGAGAATGAAATTCTCTTGCGAAGAAAAGTAACTGGAAATGGTTCGCAAGAGGTAGTAACAAAAGCGCATCGGCTAGCGGCGTGTGTTCGCTCTCGTGGAAATTGGCAACTAACCAAGAAGTCACGGATGCCGGCGATCGACTAAGTGTCTTGCGTCGAGACGAAGAACCAATGTGGTGGTGTTGACTCCTCTTTCACCGCTGCCATGAACGACGAGGCCTCGTCGTCGTCGGGAATATCTCAAGGCCCCGACAGCTCTTCCTGCGATTTCCAACTGACCAACACCGCCGTGACTATAGAACCAGCCAAGACTCACGCATCATCGATGATTTCGAGCTTTCGAGATAGGGTAACTTGAGCTTACACCGATTTCAAGCTTAATTTTAACCTAACTGTCCTATACTTTTTAAAAAAGTATAATGCCTCGTCCTATTCGACGACATGGGCATTGCCAAGAATGAAACTTATATTTCGTCGATGAATTACGCAACTGCAATTTGATTATCTCGTTCTTTTCCAATGCAGCAGCGCATATTAACAGAGAAATGCGTAAAGCTGTAAGGTTGATTTATGAAGTCATCGCTCTCACATCGTGCATAACGTGCTTTTTTTTCTCTATTCATAAATATATTCTCATCGAGCCGTGGCATTATGCTGAGATATATGCATCGAGATAAGATAGCATGCAATTGACGGAATATCGCACATTTCTCAAGCATTTCGTCAGTCTTCTCTCCGACTTCTCCGACTCCCTTGTTTGTCATCATTCGCGAGCTTACGAACTCCCCACAGCTCCTCTCTCGTGATGTTTTATTTTCTCTTCGGCGTTAATCGCGCCCAGCAATTGTCCCGTCGCTCGCTTTTATGTGCGTCGAGACAAGACAGGCATTGCAAATTACAAGCTCGTTAACGGACGAATGCATCGTGCGCCGCCTTAATTTGACGTTAGTGTTCTTTGTGCTTTATATTTCCACGTTTATTCCATTGAAAATCAACGAACATTCACTCATCGGCATAGAGGAAGTAAAATTTTGAACTCTTGAACTCTGCTATACAAACAGCTGAGATCGCGATTGTCATCAAGCAGTGTGGGAAGTCGTCTGAAGTCCCTGATCAAATGGAAGCAGATGAAACTGCGGGCGTCAAAGCCACCGGCGACGACGACGACGACGACGACGACGACGAGCGCCTCGTCTTTCGAAGATATATCATTGGTGGCTACCACTAGCGCTGCTAGCGCTGCAGTTGACAGTACAGTCGGGACGTCGATTTCCGGTAATAAGCCTGAAAAATATCTCGGAACATTATTCACAGCATTGGCCGCCGCATAAATCACGTTATCCACGGGGCAGAAATACACGCATACGTCCGTGTGCGCGCGTGCACGAGAGAGGCGACTGCCGAGTAAACCAATTATTTGTAATTGCACAGAGACTGCAGGGTATCGCTTGACGAACGGCACGACTGCGCGTGCACCCCGCATCATCGGGCGAGAAGATAATCCGAGTGCGCCGCCGTCGCCCAATCTCATTGACAGTAATCTTGCTCCGCGCACTCTTGACCCGGCAGTGTCCTCGTCGTTCGTGACCGCGCATTCATCGCTAGCATCCCACGAAGGTATACTTTTACCAAGACTCCACACTCATGCCAACGCGCGTACCGTCTCAACTTAATGAACTGTCTAGTGGGCCGTGTCGTTGCTAGCTATTGTTGCGAACGACGACGTAATGTTTCGGAAGAGACCATATAAAACCTGGGATGTATAGAGGGAGTGCAGACCGGGCCCTGAAGTATAGACCCGTCGTCCGTCTCGCTCTCGCAAAAACGCTTGCATCATGAGCGAGCGTTGTCGTACTTGCGGAAAAATCGAGCGGCAGCAGCACTCCTCCGAAAGAGGCTGAACCGAAAAAGAGAGACAAGACGAAAGACCGGTTGATCGTCCGTCTCTCTCGCTCTTCCGTACGTGCTGCCCGTAAACGGAATGAAACGCGTTAAACGTTCTAACCTCATTTCAACTTTATGGCTATATGTCTGCGGCGCTACATTATCTCTAACCTTTTAATTTCTCTTCAAGCCGACTGCTGCTACTTGCGTGCAGTATTAATCCATTAATTTCGGAATAGCTAATTTCACTTCTCCGGTATCGACTCTTTTTGGCCTCTCTATATAAGGCAACGTTCTCTCATTCGCGAATCTATGCGATTCTAAAATCCAGCGTCGACAGAGAAATTTTCGAAAATAACGACTCGTACTTGAATTTGAAATTAATGCAGAGGAAGACCGAGGAGCGACGTCTACGAGTTATGCAGAAGCGTCGAATTCGGCGACCAACGCGAGCGACTCGTCGAATCTCACGGAGAATACCGATGACGAAGTGAATCCGATAAGTGGACAAGAATCGCTGGGATTGCCATCTGCGGTGATTGGCGTTCAGTTACAGTATGATCATTACTCTGGCCATTGATTGAGTTTAGCGAAGCGAGGAATATTCGTAGGACTGGGTGCAACAAGAATATACTTTCGTGCGAAAGCCGCCCAATCGTACACCGCGCGTTCGTGTCAATGCTGAATTTTCAATTCGACATCGGCGAAAGTAGCGCGTGTGTCCAGCCGACCTAGAGATCGGACCATAGGCGTCGCTCCTGCGCCGCCTCAATTTATGCCCGCCCGTAAACTTTCAGGAAGCGCTTGGACGCTCGCTCGACTTGCGCGCGTATTTCATTCGCGGCCGATGCGCGAGCCAAAGCCGGCGCGCGCGTGAAAGCTTATTACATCTAAGCGGGGCTCGCTTTCGTCGCTCACCGAGGCAGCGCGTTCGGCAGGCGTACGTCATACATCCCGTGCGCGCTATTGCAGAACGGCCTCGTCGAGCGTGGGAGCAGCGCGGATCCTCGATGTCATTCCCATACTGTTCATCCAGAACGGCGGCAGTCTGACTCTCGGCAACTCGAGCTCCATGACGACCGAGGAGAGCTTCAACTGGACCACGGGGTAAGCGCGAATCATGCTCTCCCTCTCTAGAGAGTTCTACGCGATCGCCAGAGAAAAACACAAATTGCTCGATGATCGCCGCTGTTCGTCACGCGCGTTCGACCGCCGAGCG